TCCCAGCCTATCCAGCCTTTCTTTATAACTCAAACCTTCCATACCTGGCAACATCCTGGTAAGTCTCTTCTGAACTCTCCCTAGCTTAATAATATCCTTCCTAAGTTAGAGAATATCAAAGTAATAGATTGAAAAAAATGGTCATTTTAATGTGATGAAAAGAATACTGGGAGAGAAACTGAAAGGTTATTTTGAGAGCTGGAAAGATGGAACATCATTAAAATAAAGTATAGAAATAAGTAGTCTATAGCATTCATTAGAAATTAAGTCCTCCTAAAAGAATAGCCAACAATGAAGAAAGACAAATGAATGAAGAGAGAAGGGTAATATTGAAACTAAGAATGAAGACCAGATTTAACAAACACAGATAATAAAGGAAATTATAACAAAATAGGACACGAGATGTCGGGAAAGGAGTGAAGAAACTTTTAAGGCCTTCAAAAAATTAAATTCACAGGGAATATACAAAGAAATGAAAAAAATATATAAACGGATAAAATGCAAATTAGGCTAGGAATATATAAAATATTCCCTGTAAATTCTCAATGTTCCATGCAGCTTGATTATTTCAATGTGCAATGCATTTACATTACTTGCACAGCCACACGCACATGGTGTCTTACAGGGAATAACTTGTGATCAACCTAAACAGAAACCGCTGGAGAAACTCAGCAGGTCTGTAGAGAGAAAGCAGAGTTCACGTTTTGAGTGCAGTGACCCTTCTTCTCGTAAGCAACCTATTTTGTACTTCCCAGATTGCCATACAGCTATACACACATATCACAGTACAGTGGAAACATTAAGCAGAATCACAAAAAAGTTAATGTTTCGAGTCCAGTGACCCTTCTTCAGAACTGTTCTGAAGAAGACTCATACTGGATTTGGAACATTAATTCTGTTCCTCTCTCCACAAGTGCTGCCAAACTTGCTGAGTTGCTCCATAATTCTATGCTCAGTTCAGATTTCCAGCAAATGCAGTATTTTGCTTTTATGGGGAAAACTTGCAAGGAGACCAGAATTAGAAGGCTGTAAATTTAAGATAGTCATAGTAAATCCAATGAAGAACTCGGGGGAAATATTCTTACTCAAGTGGTAAGTGAACTCACTACTGCATAGAGTAAATGAAAAAAGTAGCACAGGTTAACTTTAGGAGAGGCTGAATAAGCAAATAAATAAAAAAGAAGAATAAAATGGTACGATGACTGGGTTAGATGAAAAGGGTTGAGGAAGAAGCCCATATGCTGGACCAGTTAGGCTGTGTGGTCTCTTTCTGCGTTATTGACTTGACATAGCAATAACTGTGTTTGGGGGTGTTTTAATGTGATGGACTTACCACTGGACTATTAATCCAAAGACCCAGGAAATGTTCTGAGGACCTGTGTTCGAGTCCCGCCATAGCAGATAGTGAAATTTGAATTCAGTAATAATCTGGGAGGGGAAAAAAAGGTCTAATGAAACCATAGGCAATTGTCAGGAAAAAAAAATCTTGTTCATTAATATACTTTAGGGAAGGAAATCTGCCATCCTCACCTGGTCTGCCCTAAATGTGAACTCCAGGCTGCAGCAATGTGTTTGACCTTTAACTGTCCTCCAGGCAATTAGGGATAGGCAATAGATGCTGGCCTAGCCATTGATGCCCAAATCCCATTAAAAAAAAAGCCCCTAAAAAGCTTTCGTAAGTTATTACACAATACCTTCCTGCCTATCCCATTCTGCTGCACATTCACGTCCTCAACTGAGCACAAGCATGGAAATTGAATTAAAATCTGTCCATGCCTTCCCAGCGAATGCTGATCCCTGTTGAACAGCAATCCATCTTATGCATTCAATGCAGAGTTCCATTTTACAGAGAAAATGCCTTCTAGGAGATAACAGCATAAGCTCACTGTAAATATGTTGTACTTTGTTATATGACGGAAACTCTAGCAAGCCATTTATCACCAGCATTGACAACATTAACTGCACCGATAGAGTCAACAACAGTGACTGCTCCAACGAAGTCAGTTTCATGCTGTAATCGAACATCTTCCAGCTCTCCAGTCATTGCAGACACCACAGGTTGGTTGTTGATTAAGGCAAGTGCAGCCTAGAAAATGAAATGCTGTTGAAGATTTCATGGAAGTTGTGTACATATCAGTTTATCCTAAATATTGCCCATTTATATATTAATTAAAACGTAGGACTGGGACTCTTAGCTACAGCATGGACAGCAGTAAGGCCTTCAGCTCCAAGTTCCTCGACAACTGAAACAGAATTTCGAGCAGCAGTACTCTCTGACAGCACTCAGAAAGCAACAGCTGAAACAACAGTCACTTACAGTACTGATGGGACCACAGGTCAGTAGATGTAGTGTATAAGACATGTCATGCTTCTTATGGTAGTCTAGGGTGGGCTTGGATTTGCAATCACATTGATAGATTACCAATGATGATGGTAATCTATCATTATGGATGCAAATCAATTAAAGCTGGATTGTTAAACCTACTGTTTGTCACTACAGCATAGCTCAGAGGATACTGGAGCACTATAGCAGGCATCGTTCCTCATCCTGATATGCAGTACAGTATAAACGCAAGCCATCCCTGCTGCTCATGTAACACCACAAAAATACATTTTTGAAGTTTAAAGTGAAAGCTAGCTAATTGTGAACATTCTTCATCTTATATTAATGCCAACTTAGGAACAGAACCAATAACAACCAAGACAGCACTGGCAGAAAGGACAGTAAATCCCTCTACAGCATCAGAAACAGCTTCTGACGTTACTGGCTCTATTGGCACCACAGGTCAGGTAGAACCTTCACCTTTTCCTACAAGCTTGCTACTTGAGCCTTTGGGCTGTAATTAGTAACAAATGTTCAGAATCATACCTTATGCTACAACATATTTTTGCTTGGTTCAGCCTTTTCACCATTTCCCTGGCCTGTGCTGAGGAAGTTATCAGTACTACAATTAATTGTGTTGACCCCGGGCAAGAGAGGGGGAAAGGTGATTAGCCAGGTCACCCAGTGATTCCTGGTGGAAAGTGGTTGTATGGACAGAACATGACCAGACTGGGCTCAAGTGCACCTACCGTCTAATATCTTGTTGATGCTTGCTGTATAGTTCTTCTATGCTTTAATTCCCTCTTCACTGTTCTAATGCACTATTTCTCTCACATTCTAACCCCTGTAAGTCTAAGGTCATTCCAAAACTCTGTTCCCCATGCCTTCACTCGGAACAAGACCCATTCACCTACAGTCCTATGTTTGTTTGTATGTACTGGCTTCTAGATCTTGACTTTAAAATTCTCATCCATATATTTAAATCTCTTCATTGCCTCAGCCTTCCCTATCTCTGCAATCTCCTCCCACCTCAGGATCGTCAAGATATCTGCAGTCATCTAAGTCTGACCTCCTGAGCAATCTCAATTTTAGTTACTCTACTGTTAATGATTGTGCTTAAGCTGCCTGGACCATAAACTGTGGCCTTCACACCTGACACACCTCACTATCTCTCTTTATTCCTTTAAGATGCTCCTTAGACCTACCTCTTTGATCAAACATTTTATCATCTGACTTAATATCTCCTTAAGTGGTTAACATCATTTTGAAGGAATCATAGAATGGTTACAGCACTGAGGAGGCCATTTTGCTTGTCATATCTGTGCTGGCCCTTTGAAGGAGCAGTTCATCTCATGCCACTCTCCTGCATTTCTCAAATGTTTCCACAAATCTTTCCTTTTTCCGATAATAATCGAATTCCCTTTTGATTCAGATGCATCTGCCTCCAGCTTTTTCACTCAGTGCTTTCCAGGCCCTTATCCCTCACAGTGAGAATACGTTTTTCTTCATGTTGCTATTGTTTCTTTTGTGTGACCTCTGGTTTATGATCCCTCATCAATGGGAACAATTATTGCTATCAAATCCCCTCTCAACCTTCTCGTCTCCGAGGTGAATAGTCCCAACATCTCTAGCCTGTCTCCATTTTTGAAGGCTCTCATTCCTGGAACCATTCTTACAAATCCTCATAGTATTATAAAATCCCTACAGTGTGGAAACAGGCCATTCGGCCCAACAAGTCCACACTGACTCTCCACAGAGTATTCCGCCCAGACTCACCCCCACCACCCTATCCCTGTCACCCTGCCTTTCCTATGGCTAATCCACCTAACTTACACATCCCTGAACACTACAGCACCCGGAGGAAACCCACACAGACATGGGGAGAGTGTGCAAACTCCACACAGATAGTTGCCCAAGGCTGGAATTGAACCCGGGTCCCTGGCACTGTATGCAGCAGTGCTAATGACTGAACCTTCATATTCTCTAGTACCTTCATATTGTTTCTCAAGTGTGTGCCCAAAGTTGAGGTCAAGTGAATGTTTTATACAAGTTTTGCATAACCCCTTGCTTTTGAACCCTATAGCCTATTGATAAGGCTCAAGATGCCATATGCTCTATTAATTGCTCTGTCAGCCTGCACTACCATCTTCAATAACTTGTCTGCGCGCACGCACACACACGCACACACACACACACACACACACACACACACACACACACACACACACACTCAGATCCCTCTGCTCCTGTTAGTATTGTAGCCTTTCTTTCATATTGTCTTTCTCCATTCTTCTTAGCAAATTAATCACTTCACACTTCTCTTCATTAAATTTAATCTGCCACTTATCTGCCCATTCCACCACCCTCTTCATATCCATTTGAAGTTCTACACTATCCTTCCAACTTTTTTATTATCCACAAATTTTGAAATTTTACCTTTGTATACCAAGGTCTAGATCATTCATGTATATCAGGAAGAGCAGGGGCCCAACCTTGCTCCAATCCACAAAAGTAGCTATTCACCACTACATTCGGATTCCTATCATTCATCCAAATTCTTACCCATGTTTCTACGATCTCTTTTACTCCATGTTTGGTTGCAAGTTTGTTGTTCATTCTTAGGTCATAGATCATGGAATTCCTACAGTGTAGAAACAGGCCCTTCAGCCCAACCAGTCCACACCAACCTTGGAGCATCCCACCCAGACCCATTCCAATATAACCCACCTAATCTACACATCCCTGAACACTATGGGCAATTTAGCATGGCCAATCCACCTAGCCTGCACATCTTTGGACTGTGGGAGGAAATCAGAGCACCCGGCAGAAACGCACGCAGACACAGGGGGAATGTGCAAACTCCACACAGACAGTTGCCCGAGGGTGGAATTGAACCTTGGTCCCTGGCGCTGTGAGGCAGCAGTGCTAGCCACTGAGCTGCTGTGCCACCCCTTCATCAAGTGCCTTTGGAATTTTGTGTTCAGGACATCTAGAGTTCTACTTTTTCAACACTGTCACCTCATTTAAAAATCTGCGCTGGCTAACCCATATTTGTCCAAGTGACTATTAATTTTATCCCGAATTATCCTTTTCAGAAGCTTTCCCACCATCAAGGTTAAACTGACTGACCTGTAGTTGCTGAGTTTTTCTTTTACCATCTTTTTTGAACAAGGGTGTGACATTAGCAATTCTCTAGGCCTCTGGCACCACCCTTTAATTGAAGGAAGATTGGAAAATTGTGGCCACTGTCTTGATAATTTCCACTCTCACTTCTTACATTATTATTGAGTGTATCTCATTCGTTCCAATGCCATATCAAATTTAGAACTTGTTTGTAGTCAGTTTTAAAATCTAACTATCTAAGCTGCATTCTCTTTCACTATGATCTGGGCAAGCAAAGGGTTCATTTAATATCTTAACCATGCCCCTGCCTCAGCACATAAATCCCCAATTTTGTTCCCAATAAGAACATAAGGACGAGAAGCAGGAGTGGACAACTCAGCCGCCCAAGCTTGTTCTGCTATTTAATACAATCATGGAGGATCTCATCTCGACCTCAGTTCCACTTTCCTGCCTGCTCTCCATAATGCTTTAATGGTTCTTAATTAAAATTTAGTTTGTCTCCCTCTTAAATTTATTCAGTGTCCTGGCATCCACTGTACTCTGGGGTAGTGAATTCCATAGATTCACAGCCCTTTTTTGAGAGAGGTAATTTCTCCTCATCCCTGTTTTAAATCTGTTACCCCTTCTCCTAAAGCTGTTGCCTCTCATTCTAGATTGCCCCACGTGAGAAATCCTTTCTATGTCTACTTTGTCAATCCGCTTTTGCATCTTTTATACCCCAATTAGATCTGCCGTTGTTCTTCTAAGCTCCAGAGAGTATTGGCCTAAACTGCGCAATCTCTCTCCATAAGACAAATCCCTTAACTCTGGAAATAATCTCATGCACCTCCTCTTAACTGCCTCCAATGCAACCACGTCGCTGGTTGGGTAAGGGGACCAAGATTCTATGCAATACTCTAGGTGCGGTCTCACTAATGCCTTGTACAGTTCCAGCAACACTTCCTGAATTTTATACTCCATTTCTACAGCAGCAAATGCCAAAATTCCATTTGCTTTCCTTAATACCTTAGTTTTCTATGATTCATGCACAGGACACACAGATTCTTCTGCACTGAAGAGCTCTGAAGTTTCTCTCCATTTAGATAATAAATTGCCTTTCTAACCCTCCAACCAAAATGGATAAATTCACACTTATCCACATTGAACTTCAGCTGGCAAATTTTGGCCTACTCACCAAAACTATCCATATCCATTTGTAAATTTCTCGTTTCTCCATTGCAACTTAGTTTACCACCTAATTTAGTGTCACCTGCAAGTTTGGTTATTGTATTTCTATTTTCACCTTCATCCACTTACTAACCCTTTTACCATCTTTGTGCCTGTAGTAGCCTTTTGAATTACCTCTAATGTTAGCTGCCAGTCCCTTCTCATAATCTTTCTTTGCATCTTTAATTTGCTTTTTCAATTCCTTTCTGAACCTTTTATATTGGCCTGATTCTTAATTCCTTAGAATCCTGTCATAAGCACACTTTATCTGCTTTCTCGTCATCTCTATCTCTTTTGTTATCCTAGGAGCTCTGGGGTTCTTTCACCTATTGTTTCCACACATGGCAATTTATCTTGACAGTACTTGAACTATCTCATGTTTTTAAAGGGAACTTATTGTTCAGTTACAGCTTTATCTGCTAATCTTTGAATTTGATTTCTAATGTTGTAAAGTGCTTTGGGGTGTTGTATTATTTTTGGTTTGCTATATACATATAAGTTGTTGTTGTTACTTGTGCATAAAGAATGGCTGCTGGATGAGGGACAAAGAAGTAAATAGAGTCCTTCAAATAATAGCCAATTCAGCATCTTCAAGAAAGATTCGAGAAAATTGGATACTAAATACCAAGATTGTATATTTAAGAAAAAGAATAACAAGCAACTTCAAATAGCCAGGTCCAGATTGCTGTGTTAGTGACACAAGACTGAGATGTAGCCAACAAACAATTGAAGCTGAAACTGACTCACATTCCAGTCTGTTCTTTGTGATTGATGTTCCAACTGTATTGTGCAAGATCTCCCATCCAGGTTTGTAATATGACGACAGGGACCATGCAATGCCCTAAAAAATGTTCATTACAAACCATTGATTCCATTGTAAGTGGAAGCCCTGGGAGTTATACCATAGGGTGGGCAGTTGAGATGTTGGGTATAGTCTCAGAATATCTCCAGGTTAGGCAAGGATGCTTTACGGACATTAGTGTTTTTTACATTGTGTTGCTGTTACATGTTATTGATTAACTCAGTGAATGTCATCAAAAGGGATTCTCCCAGGACGATGAGCAAAGTACGGTTCATTGAGGGAAAATACCACATGATAAGTCTCCAATAATAAGGCCAAAAGGATGCACAAG